GTCCCGTCGAAATTGGCCCAGCCGTTTCAGAAATTACGCGAAACAAACACGGCTTGCGGACAGACAGACAGACAGGCAGACATTTTGTAAAATGCTATTTCCGTTATTAGCAACAAAAATACATCATCTTCCCGAAATCTGGTATTTTTCTTTTGATATTACAAACAGACACTCCAATTTTATTTTATATATATAGTTATAGACTACGTCAACGTCTAATATTTTTACTACAAAACGGAAACGAGCAATTTGTCTTCATAATTTATTTGATTTCATCAAATTATATTAAGTTCTTCATCATAATTTTAAAGAAAAATACGCTGTCTGGATATATTTAGTCATAAATCTCAATAGACGTCCAAATAGGTCGAGTAGGTGTTCTTATAGACCAATATATACTAAGGAAGATCCTTGTAGCTTTGGACAGTTGTCAAAATATTTAATTTACCGAGAGATATTCTATTTCCATAAATAAACCGAATAATAGTAATATTACCCTATGATTTATATCTGATTTATACTGATTTTATAGTTTTTTTAACAGAAAGCCTTGCCAAAATACGAACACAAAAACATATAAATCAATATGATTTTGTATACGTATTATATTTGATTCTGTTAGAATTTGTATTATAACCTACTAGTTTTCGCCCACGACTCCGTCCGCGTAGAATTAAAAAAAAACAAAAGTGAGTAGCCTATGTGTTCTTCCAGACTACCGTCCACATCTATACCAAATTTCATCGAAATCCGTTCAGTCGTTTAGGCTACAAACTCTAACGAACATCCATCCATCCATCCATCTAAACTTTCGCATTTATAATATTAGTAAGATAACAGTTTGAGAACAAAACGTCCAAAAAAATGTATTTGACGTCATATTCATCTCACAACGATCCATTTATGGTCCGTTACCCATCTTCGTTTAACCATTCCTTAGTGTGTTTGGTTCGATAACCTCATGAAATGCGTTTCCGAACTACGTAACTTGAGTTTTACACAATTGAAACATAGGTCAACCTAACACTACCTATTCACTAGATAATGTTAAAGTAAATAGAAACCTCAGAAACCCAGCATTAATCAGTTAAGAAACGCATAACTAAAATAACTTAGAAGAAACACTTTGATAATCTTACTTCATACTAATATTGTAAATGCGAAATGGATGTTTGTTAGAGTTTGTAGCCTAATCGGCTGAAAGGATTTCGATGAAATTTTGTGTTGATGTAGAGGATAGTCTGGAAGAAAACATAGGCTACTCACTTTTGTTTTTATTAAATTCCACGCGGACGGAATCGCGGGCGAAAGCTAGTATAGAAATGAAAAGAAACTGTCCCTTTCTAAATATATTTTGGTTTTTATTTAAGTAAACATCGTATACCGGACATCGACACTACTGTATTATTCACGTTCATTGTAAGGACTCTCTTAATAAAAGTTTCCTCTATTCAGACAAATGTAATAATACTAAAATAAAACGAAGATACGGCTTACATTTTTTGTCTTTCTAAGAGGATGGTAATACTATCTGATAATAACTTTTACTTACAAGTTCATGTAAACAGAATTAACTACATTTCTATTTATAACCAAGGTTTTAACAATCATTAAAAACATTTAAATTTTTTTTGCTTACTAATATTATAAATGCGAAAGTTTAGATGGATGGATGTTTGTTAGAGTTAGTAGCCTGAACTGCTGAACAGATCTCGATGTTTGTCATAGATGTAGAGGATAGTCTGGAAGAACACACAGGCTCCTATTGTTTTTTTTTTTAATTCCACGCATACTGTGTCTCCGATGAAAGCCAGTAATGCCATAAAACTAACGGATCTACTTTGTTAAAAAATAATTAATCAGACGATACTGGCAGGCAACAAAATAAAAACTATTACAAACTACGATCATAAAAAAACTGCAATAAAACAAAATAGCACGCTAATTATTTCTTATAACCAACGTCGTATTTACGAGTCGTAAAGTCGGCCAGCCCGTTGTCTTAATACCAGACTTTGTAGTTTTACGACTACACGCCTGTGAGGACCAGCACTGTATCTGTTTTCTTTATAATAGATATTCTTTACTAGCTGTTCCTGTGTGACTTCATGCGCATGAAATTATGAAAATTTTATTTCATTGTTTACATGTGTCAAATTATCAATGGCAAATGTCAAAATGACATGACATGACGACAAAGCAACTTATGGTCTCTTTCCCACATTAGGGTTTTTATCCAAAATATTTGCCCCCTAAGTTTAATGTCGTGAAAATGTGTAGCCTTAACCGTGACGTAAGTGTAGGTATTTTTATAAAAAGAAATAATTATTCAAAAATATGCTGTAATTGCTGACATTATAGGCAACAAAGAAGTGTGTGTTTACGCTTTATTATAATAGTATAGATTATGTGTTCAATATAACCTCATTGGTGTTTGATATACTTCAAGACATTTCAGATTCAAATATAGAAAATGTTTTGTTCAAATACAATGTACGAGTAACAAAGTATTTTGTTTAACACAAGCATGTAGAGTATAAACAGAAACGTAACGAATTCCCGCCAGAAATATCACTCGCCGGCTATTGGCATCCGAAACGGATACAATCGCACTAAATTATCGTATTTGTACACTTTAATAAATTAAATAAATACCAACGAAAGGATGAGAATAGTTATAAATAAAAACATTAAAAAATAGTTAACGCTGGGAAACCGGGTATAAGGCTTGTACTATTTGTTACGTGGAGTAAATCATCATCATCTCCCCTGCCTTATCCTACTCCCGTAGGGTCGGCGCACCGGGTTTTCGTTCTCTAAAACATTCTATCATCCGTCATCTCAGCCATCACTCCCTTCTTGATCATGTCACCTTTCACGCAATCCATCCATCTCTTTCTAGGTCTACCTCTACCGTTGTACTCCTCCACATTCATAACTAACGTCCTTCTTGTTACATGCGATTCATCGCTTCTCATAACGTGCCCATAGCACTCTAACCTTTTACTCCTTATTTTCGCAACCACTGGGGTTACTGTCAAACTTTCTCTAATATACTCATTTCGTATCTTATCCAATCGTGTTACCCCACACATCCATCTTAACATTCGCATATGCGTCACATGTATTCTCCTTTCATCCGTCCCTTTTACTGCCCAACATTCAGATCCATACATCCATATTTACGTGGAGTAAATATACGCTATAATTAATAGGTTAAATAGTGCATATTGTAATTGAAAAGCTTTCTCTGTGTTTATTCCGATAATAATTAATTATTTACTTTTAATGGCAGTGTGTTACTTTTTGACTGAATTCCCGAAAGAAGGAGTTAAACAATTAGTTTGTTTTTTTTACATTATTCATTTTTAAATTATTTTCGTATATTTTTAAAACACAAGGCGCGACTGAATAGATTGTATCAAATCTATATTGACGTTATGTCATATATTTAAGACCTGCCATCTGTTACATCGAGAAGGGATTCCGTTAACGGTATCGTGCCAAAAATATTACGAACAAGTTATCGAACATTTCTGATATATTTAGGACTGGTTATCCGTGTTCATATCACCTCTAAATATTATACCGGTGTTCAGAATTGAAAATACAATTTATTACAATACTTAATGTCCGCTCTATTTTTATGAATCTCTTTATATGTGTTGATGGTCTTTGTATCGTCATCATCATCATCATCATCATTACCCTCCATATCCTACTCCCGTATCAGCGCAGCGGGTTTCTGTCCTCCAAATAACTCTACGTCATCTCAGTCATCACTCCCTTCTTGATCATGTCACCTTTCACGCATTGCAATTAATTTGTGTTAAGACAGATAAACATATCAATGACAGAGTGGACGTTATAAAAGTATCCATAAGATACTCTTACTAATATTATAAATCGATGAAGGAATGATTGTAAGAGTTTGTAGCCTAAACTATTGTATGGTTCTCTATGAAATTTGACGTGGAATAAGAGGATGGTGTGGAACAGATAGGCTATTAAATATATTTTTTTAAGAAAGATAGGTCTTGATTACTTTGGGTGTCACCTAACTTTATTATAATGTCCTTATTTTTTTAACAATTCAATAATTATTACTGTCTTAAATTGTCAGATTTCTTACATATCATCTTATGCAAATGTTTGAACGGTTGAAAAATCTTGCTTCGTCCCATTGCCCCTCGTGTATCGAGGTCGCTCATTTGAATTTAAAAACGACAGAAAATGTATGTAAAACATATTAAATGAATGTCAACTTTACGATTAAAGAATTACAAGATAAAAATACCTAAAGTAGACTGAAAAATAAAATAGATTGGAAAAAAAATGAAAAAATATTTATTTTAAGAAAAATTACCATAAACTTAACCTAATTTACATTTTTTTTACACACTAAACAAAAACTAAAATAAACAAAAAACAGTAAAGTACGTAAATAAGTATGTTAGCAAATCTGTAGGCTAGTTTGCTTATTAGCAAATTGTTCAGCTACCCTCCGTACTAGTATAAAAACTTTATTACGGCAGGGCAGTGCGGGATTAAGTTGAAGATGGAAGAAAGAATACAGATATCACTGATAGAGATGTAGAGAAGATATTTTTTATGAGCCGCCCTCTCGGTACCCCTAATTTTTTGAGTCAGGGACGTGGATCGGGTTTTTCTTATTTTTTTTATACGTTCTGACTTAAATTTACATCAGAGATGAATGTTAGATTCTCCCATGCTAATAATTACATATGCCAGCTGAAAATCAGCGCAGGAATGGCTAAGGCCATCCTGCACACGCTGAGCTGGCTACCTTTTGCCACGATTGTGTTTTCTTTAGAATATTTCTATTTTGTGGCAATAAATACATATTCATTCATTCATTCATTCATATGTCCAACTAGTAATGTTTGTTAAATGTATTTTTGGTAATTGAACGAGAAAGCAGTGATTTTTTTTCATATTTTTTCTTTTCTGTTCAATACAGAAACAGTTACTAAATCTTAAAAAACCATTTTTAACGTAGCAAATAAAATCAGCTCAAATAACAAGACTGAATGATTACGAATTAGAAAATAAAGGAATTAATGACAATAAAAAGAAACATTTATAACTAAATAGTTAGAATAAACAAGAGATAGTTTTTATCTACTAAAGTGCATCAATTATACACGTCAATTACATGTCCTAAATTTACAAAACCGCGTGCAGACGCTATCTTGGCTATTATTATTGTGCTAAAATTTAAAACTACAAATTGTCCAGTAATATTTCTGAAGATTACATGCGATACAAGTTTATAAGAACGGAAAGTACGCTAGGAAAACGGCGTGCGTCCGCCATCTTGTTTGTCAGTGTTGTATTGGCGGTAAAACGGCACGTTGTCGCACGCGCTGTGCGCCGAGTGCGTGCGGCGAGCGGGTCGCGCGCGCATCGGGCTCGCGCGCGACCTCGAGTCATGTCCTGAAAGGGTCATGGAGACGATCTCCGAGGATGCTGAGGCGGAATTGGAACTTGGTAAATATATGTGGTAATTTTGTAAGATACTAACTTTCGCCTGTGACTCTGTCCGCGTGGAGTTAAGAAAAACAAAAGTGAGTAGTCTATGTGTACACTATCCTCTATGTCTACGCCAAATTTCATCAAGATCCGTTTACCCGTATAGGCTATAAACTCTTACAAACATCCATCTAAATTTCCACATTTAATAATATTAGTAAGATGTTTTCTCATACGGATAAATATGTCTCTTTATGGGATAATTTAACATTTCTGGGAAATCTACTCTGTTATAACTCCTAAACTGTATCTGAAAGGCTTAAAAGTTTACTTCGCACATAAATACGTAAATTTAATTTTATTTTTATAGTCATAGAATTAAATGCATTATAATGATCAATATGACAATCAAATGTCAATTCAAAATCGATTTCCCGGCATACAGTCTCACACAAAAGTTTGTAATAAAAATAAACACGCCAATCATAGATATATGCTATGAAAATAGATGTTAAATATTTTAAAAATATAAGGTTCATTGACCGCAACAGAGGTGTCCAGTGTCCAAACATTGCAGCTTGCGCTAATGCATTACACAAGTGGTACACTCGATACGAAAAGTATTATGAGACATTTATTATATTGTTGTAAATTAAACCAATTAATGAACAGTTATAGTTAAATAAATACTTAAAAAAACATAATTAGAACTGCGGCAAGTAAAATCATAATTCTTCATCTGGTGCGACGGCGGGCCAAAATGGGCCCCCAATGGTATTTCCGCCAACCCGTGGCAGGTCTTTCTAGACCCACCAGCACTGGGATATAATATTCTGGAAACAAAATATATACATTTTATGTAATGTAATGTATAGATCTGAGATAATCGTTTGGCACTAGCGAGAGGGAAATAGTTTTCTTCGTCTGTATCAGCTTAAGTACTGCGTCAGGCCGATATCGGCCTGTTACGCAGTGAATGTGTTAATATATACAACAAGTCTATTTTAGAGCCTTTTGAAGGAATAACAAGTTATTTCAAGAATAGACAGAAAATTATTAAAAACACGCTGTTTAAATATTAAATCGATTTTCAATAGAATTTTCATCTCAGAAGTCTCATAATCGGATCAATTTTGTTGCCCATTATAACGATGTAACGATTTTAATCTCCGCCAACGTTCAGTTCCATTGAAACTCTCAAATTAGACGCGTACACGTTTTCTTTTAAAACCTGTATCTGTTTTGACTGCATTCAATTGCGAATTTTACTTTCAAGCTTATTAACACATCTAAAATAATTATTTAATTGCTAAAAAAAATATTTTAAGTTCGTATTCAAGGAAAGTTTTTTAATTTACTTTAAGACAATACTTAGTTAACCATCACGTCTAAAACATAAAATCAACTGTAGAATTTCTGACTCAAATTCTGTAACCAAAATGGTTTTAAATTACGGTTTAACTCTTTCAAAGGGTTAAAAGTACCCCATGGGGATTGAAGGTATAATGTTGGCTTTGGAAGCTACATAACAACATAATACTCTGTTACCTTCGTTATAAAGTTTTAATGGTTGACTTACAGAAACAAAGCTTTTATAGAGTCAAAAGTTGAACATGATAAACGTTTTAAGCCGAGATATTTGTTAATATGTTTTAATGTTTGTAAAACCCACCCATTACCCTCACACCAAGCCTAGGTCATCTGGCGATGTCCATTTTTTGGTACTAATTTTAATTTTCTTGTTAAGACTAAAATGTAGTGTTAAAGTAAACTTTATTAAGGATATTAAGCTTTTTAGGCCATTTTTTATTTAACTGAAGAAATCTTAACAGTGATAGTGCCTGCTTTAACATCTTAGCACGAATGGGCCGGCAAGCCCGTTGTAATACCACGACCACACAGAAGTCAGGCATGAAGTGGAAGTAATTCCGTGTGTCGTCTGATGAGTGTGGTGCCGGAGGCCTAATTTAAGTCCCTTACTCCTTACCACCCTTTTCTAATAAGGAGAGGATGGGAAGGGGTAGTGGATTTGACGGTGGAGGAGATGCATAGAAAGAGGAAATATCCTCTTTATGTGCGTCTCCTCCTCCGTCGGATAAGGGTAGGCAACGCATCTGCAATTGCGGATGTCTGTGGGCAGCGGTCGCTTCGCCATTTTGGCGGATTCGGGTGGCCGCTTGCTCGTTTGTCACCTTATGTTATAAACAATATATATATATATAGTTAAAACTAAGCAAAATTTATCATCTCTTATCATCTGTGAAGCAACAAAAGTCGTCTTTCAAAACAATATACTGATGTACTAAGTACACAAGACAATTTATCTTCCCCGCTCGGAGCGACAGGCAAGTGGCATTAATAAATATTTCTGTTACAAAACCATTTCCCGCGCGACTGTACGTAAGGCTTAATGGAATCCAGATAATGTGGTCGGCCCGCGATTGACTCGTCTGAGCGTTTTGTATCGATTGCAAGTTTTATTTTTGACTGTACAAAAAAAAAACTGCCAAAGGGTAAATTTACGTTTTCCCTCAGTCTTTATTTAATGTATTTTAGTCACAAAGTAAGCCACGATTGTCTTGCACATTATTATTGATAACCGCTATCGTACTCAGAGTCAACAGTCACTAAGAATTCCCTTAACCTAATCTAAATATATCATACTAATATTATAAATGCGAAAGTTTAGATGGATGGATGTTTGTTAGAGTTTGTAGCCTAAACGGCTGAACGGATTTTGTCGAAATTTGGCATAGATGTAGAGAATAATCTGGAAGACCACATAGGCTACTCAGTATTGTTTTTTTTATCTCGTGCGAACGGAGTCGTGGGCGAAAGCTAGTAGTATTATAAATAGAACCTATTTATGGGAAAACGAATCTTTTGTAGTTATTAAAAATAAAAAAGATTTATATTTGAATAACAACGCTTACAAAAACCCTTAAACGTATAGGGGTAAGTTACGGACGACATTTTTATTTCGTGTCGCAAAGAAAGCTGTTAGACTAAGTTTAGCGCCCTCAAGTGTTAATGCAAGTGAAAATAAGCTACGGGATTTACCGCGTACGCTGAAATAAATTTTCTTTTGCTTATTATTTATTACTAGCTTTCGCCTGCGACTCCATCCGTGGAAACGAAAAACAAAAGTATTTGTGTTCTTCCAGACTATGCTCTACGCTAAATTTCATTAAGATTCGTTCAGCTGTTTAAGCTACAAATTCTAACAAACATCCATCCATGTTAACTTTCGTATTTATAATATTAGTATGATTTAGCATTTCTTTCTTGATAGTTTAGGCCTACGACTCTGTCCGTTCGGAATGAAATAAAGTAGCCTTTGTGTTCTAAACTATGTTCTACATCTAGACCAAATTTTATTGAGTTTAGTCTGTAAAATTTAACAAACATTCATCTAAACTTTCACATCTTACGAATATTGTAAATGCGAAAGTTTAGATGGATGGATGGATGGATGTTTGTTGGCGTTTGTAGCCTAAACGGCTTAACGGATCTCCATGAAATTTGGCACAGGTTTAGAGCATAGTCTGGAAGAACATATAGGGTACTTTTTAACCCGGGAATACTTACGGTTCCTATGGGATTCATTAATTTAGTTTTTTAATGTTTACTCGATCATTCTGCAATGGTTCAACATATCCTTTTGAAATTTGGCACAGATATAAAACAAAGTGTGGAGTACACATGGGATGAAGTTCATCCCCGAGAATTGTCCGGTTCCCGAGGGATACGTAGCTTTTTGTTATTTATGTAGTATGTTTTCTAATACCACGCGGACGAAGTCGCGGGCAACAGCTAGTTAATAATATTAGTCAGATAAATGTATCTACTTTGATGTTAAAGCTTTACCGCTGTACATTTTTTAGTAAAACTTCACAGTTTACGTCACGTTGAATGTTTTAATCCAACACAGAACTTATTTTTTCCAATTTTCTGAACACGTTGCCATGTTACTGTTTATTTACAATATCTATATGTTTACACACGTACGTTGAATTAATATGATCCAACAAAATAAACAATAGTTTTAATATAAACATAATGAAATTATTCAAGATCCGAAG